CTTGAAACATCTTTTGGAAAGGATTATGGTTGATTTGGTATACTTGTTTATTTGCCTAAAAACACTGAAATTTTGGCTCCAGAGGCCCATGTAACTAAAAAGAAGAAGAAGAAAGAAAGATATTCTCAGGTGAGGATTAACCAAAATAATAAATGAATAAATAAATAAATTCTAGCTTCAAGGCCAAAAAAAAAAAAAAAAGAAAGAGGTCCGTATAGTGGATAATGAGGTCTTATGGACGACATGGTGTTAAATGATTTTAAGAAAGTAAAAGGCTGACTTCTGGATTTTTTCTCACTTGCTTGTAGAACTAGCATGGTACTTAAGTTTGTCTCTCCTCCATGCTATTTGAAAATTTCTTGCAAAATACAAACACCATCCTGAGTACTCATTAGTTTCTACTGATGATTAATTAATGGAGGCAAATGTCTAGATATTTTTTTCTCCATGTTGAGTCAGTGTGTCTTGTCATATGGTATTTTAGAAATTGTATATGTTGTTTTGTGAAGTTAAATGAAAAGACCCCAATTGCATCTATTTTCTAACCCTTGGACAAAGGGTTAGAATACTTTATGTATACCAAGAGGAACTTAATAAATGAATATATTACAAATAAATTTTGGTCTCATTCATAAACTATTAGATTTAGATGGACTTTAGTTAAAATAATACTGGAATTAAACACTTATGAAAACACATCATGGCATGCTGAAAAGGGCTGCATTAGAGAAATGAATGATGTACAGGAGAGACTGTAAGGGAGGATATTACCCAAGCATACAGGATATAACCCAATATCACTTGGCATACAAACCACCAGGAAATCCTATCTCACATGGGAAAGGCCAACCAATAGACACCCATGCTGAGATGACATAGATGTTGAAATTATCTGACAAGTACTTTAAAGCACTGATTATAAAAAGGCTACAATAAATTAGCAGAAATGTTTTTTTAAAAATTAAAAATAATTTTTTTCAATTACAATTTACTTTCAATATTATTTAGTATTACTTTCAGTTGTACAGCATAGTAGTTAGACAATTATGGGAATGCTTTTGAAATGAAAGATGGAAAGTCTCAGCAAAGGCATAGAAAACATACAGGAGAGCCTAATGGAAACTTAGAAGTGAAAAAAGTACAGTAACCAAAATAAAAACAGACTTGTTGACAGAGAAAGTGCCAGTGAAGTTAATTCGATCATCAGGATTTTTTCAGTCTAAACTGCAGAATTAAAAGAGGTTGGGGGGTAGAAATGAATAGTGCTCAGCATATGTGGGAAAGTAACAGATCATCTCAATCCTGGAAGGAGAGGAGAAAGTGCAGTATAGGGGAAAAATTCTGAAGAAATTCTAGATGAAAAAATACCCAAATTTGGTTAAAGACATAAATATGTGGACTCAAGAAGCTCAGTTAACTCCAACATGATAACCTCATACAATTCCACACCAGATACTTCATAATCAAACTGCTAAAAAATAAAGACAAATATTGAAAGTCATCAGAAGTGATGCATTGTTTGTAGGGGAGCAATAATTTGAATGACTATATATTTCTCATCAGAAACATGGAGACAGAAGAAAGTAGAGAACACATTCATGTAACTTTTATTACAGTACTAGAGGCCTGGTGCACGAATCTGTGCATGGCTGGGGTCCTGCGGCCTGGCCTGTGCCCTCTTGCAACCCGGGACCCCTCGGGGGATGTTGGATAGCCAGTTTCAGTTTGATCCCTGCAGGCCCGATCAAGACAGGAGGGAACCCTATCCTGTGCGTTGAGCTTCTGTCCCCTGGTGATCAGTGCGCATCATAGCGACCGATTGATCGGTTGGTCGTTCCATCATTTGGTCACTTAGGCTTTTATATATATAGCTTTTGTTATAGTTGCTCTATTTTATTATTGTTGCTATTAATCTCTTGCTGTGCCTAATTTATAAATGAAACTTTATCAGTGGTATGTATATATACCAAGAAACAGTATATATAGGGTTTGGTATATCTATGGTTTATGGCATCCACTGGATGTCTTGGAACGTATACCCAGCAGATAAGAGGGAGGGGAGAAGACTGCATTGGCAGTTGTGCACAATACCTTGACCACTTAAAAGTTATCATGCATGGGGATAAGATATTAACTGAAAAATGTGGACTTACTAGTTAATACTTACAGCTTTTAATACCAACCTGTAGACTTCAAGGCTTGTTCCAGTTTGAGGTTTCTCTCTGTTAAATCACACTGAGCTATGTGACACTCAGATGCTGTACAGTGGGGCCTTGACTTACGAGTGTCCCGACTAACGAATTTTTTGAGATACCAGCTGTCTCTCGGCCGATTTTTTGCATTGAGTTGATAGAGTAATTTGAGTTAACGAGCTCCTTAACAAGCTCCTTAACGAGCTCGGTCTCGGAACGAATTAAACTCGTAAGTCAAGGCCCCACTGTATATAAATGAAGAGTTATACAGTTTCAATTAGAGAGTACATATTTAAAATATTTTTTTGGTGGGGGATGTATCCTAATGGTTTCATTATCAAAATATTTTATCATGTGCCACAAGTGTCCTTTTAGGAAGGTTTTTAAAAGCTAGAAGGTAGTGTGAAAATGAAAACTTAGGGTTTAACATTAGTCATCAAGTTGACAGGTCAGGTAGGATTTAATGTTAATTCCAGTATTTTTCCAATTTATCCTTAGGTCTTTTCAGGGGAGAGAACAAAGACTAGATTCTTGTGTTAGAGTTTTTATGATTCTGGGAAGTAACATGATTTCATAGTTCTCACCAGTGCTTTTGTTTTATCTTAACCTATAAAAATTTCTAGGACGTGCTGTATTAATAGAATCACAGATTAAGAATTCTAAAGGCGTCTATTTTTTGTTTTGATTTCATCATTAACCTCAAGGAAGATGTTAAAGACGTTGCTTTGAGAAGCAGTGAGGATTAATCATGTTATGTTTGGAAAGAGTTTTGTACTTCTTGAAAAAAAAAGAATTTTAAGTGTTATATAAATTTTTTTCTCTTTCTATTAGTTGGGCAATAAATTGAAAAGGTTCAGTTTATTTGAACCCTGTTACTATAGCTACATTCTTTTTCATTTTGGCCTTTCAAATGTATGGCAAATATATAGTCATTGCTGTTATTTATTTATTTTTTTATGAAAACCTTAAGTACATTAACATTCCCAGTTTAGATTGTCAGGGTGTGTTTGTGGAATTCTTAATAAAAATCACATAGGATGCTTCAACCTATATCTAATGGACAAACCAAGATACAAACAGTCCTCAGTAGAAGGTATCCATATTAATTGTAAAGGAATTCAGGAGTGGAAACAGGATTATTTATTACTCAAGGTGAATATTCCATTGTTACACATAACTACTGCGTATTTGGTAAAACTTTGAAATTTGAAAAGAAACCTTAGTGGGACAAAGTTGAGAGAGATTATATATCCAAATCTGAAATATTAAACCTCAAGGGACAGTTTGAAGTTAGAATTGGGTTATGTTTTGTGTAGACAAAAGGAATCTTATTCAATTACCGCTAAATATATGTCACCATAACAACAAAAACAGTTAACCTGTGACTTATTGGGATTTACTTATAACCAGGTACTCTACATAACTTTATATATACTAACTCATTTAATCATCATCAAAATCCCATCTTTACTATTCCTATATAATAAAAAAATTAATCATAATTTTTTTGTGTGTGTGTGAGGCATTTGAAAATCTGTCTGAATTTTTGCTAGGACATGACACAGTCCAAATTTCTCTAAACATCTTACCTAATAATAGACAAACATGTAAATTGACCATCCCTTCGCTACATTCACCAGCCAATCAGGAGAGTATGCAAATTAACCCAACAAAGATGGCGGCTAATTTGCATACGTAGGCGCAAAACGGTGGCGGAGTGAAGACTGAAGGCTCTGGCCTGGGTCCCGGGTGCCGGAGGAAAACTGCTGCCGGCATCCAGGGGAAGGGAAGGCCTATTGCACGAATCTCTTTGTGCAACGGGCCTCTAGTTTACTATAATATTCTTGATAGGTGGGAGGTAGTTAGTAATAAGAGTATTACTAACTTGTGATGATATTATTTTAAATGGTCTGTCCTCCCCAACTATGCTTGCAAGAATCATTAACTATTTCCAGATCAATGTTTTTTTAAGGCATGTTGTCTGGAGTTGCCCATGTGAGAAGCAGCTGGGTCAAATGTTAATCAAACTAACTTTGATTTGGGATTTCTGTTTAAAATTACAATTTCCCCCTTCATTCATGACATAATACCATGCACTGTCTCCTTGACTGGCAGCAATTTAGCTATTTCTTAGTATGTCAGACCTGTCTACTGTAGAGCAAGACTGCACATCTTTTGGGAGAGTGCATTGAGGGTTTACAACAGTGAATATCACTATGTCATATAGCTTATGTTTTAAAAATCAGATCATGTCAAATAAGCCTTCCAAATTTGAAGAGAATCCATTTGGCATTTTCACTTGTGGTAATGGTTAAGTGGTAGGAACTTGTATTAAATTAAATTAAGAAGAATGCCAAGGGGAATGCTGTACTTAACCAGGACACTAGGTGGCACAGTGAGCTGCACACAGGAAATAGAGCCTAGAGAAGATCTGCCTGGGAGATGGGATCTTATCAGAATCTGTAAGACTCCTTATAAACGTGGACAGGTTGAATCGACGAGTTGAATGGCTATTACATCCAGTTACTCCCATTCAAATGTATTCTAGAATTTCTTATTTCTGTTGCTTATACATGTCCTGGTTCGCTACCCACAAAGTGTAAAATAGATAGACTTATTGATTTGGGGGTTGAAAGAATCAAGGACATCTCAATGTGTAGTCCAAGTCACTCCACTTAGCTCAAAGTTAACACCTTCCTCTTCTTGTTCACTATGTATGAACAGCAGGTAAGGATAGGTTTCAGTATACTAGGACTTTGTTCCATATTATATTTGAAACTTATTTCCTTTTTAAATTTTGTACCTCAGAAAGAATTTCACAACACATTTGCATAGTTATGGACACCAAAGAAGATGAAGAACATGTAGGTCATCATCTTGAAGAAATGCTAAAAAATGAGTTAAATGTAAGTATTCAAATATCAAATTTAATGATTAAAGAGGTGAATGTACATTTCTTGTTTTTTGAACTGATCAACTTCCTAGTTAAGCTCATAGCTAATATTACAACTGAGAAAATGGGAGAAGTAGGTAATAAGTGTGAGGCGGTCTATAGGAATTATTTGCAACTTCTACCAGGAAGGGCTTCCATTATATATTTTTATGACAACATTGTGTGTAAAATGTTTTGTTTGCCAAACTGAAATTATTCAATTTTAATTTCCCTGTTTTCATTAAAATGTATCACCAGCAATCAGAGCTTATGATGTACATATGATGACTTTTTAAACAACATCTAGGATAGAATTGTAAAGAGCTGAAGGAAAAAGTTCACTTCACTTAGCTAATTTTATCCTGATGGCACAGTCAGAAAGAGAACGGGCTCTCTTATCAGACTGCCTGTGCTCAGCTGTCAGCTTTATTACCTAATTTCTCTGTCTTAAGTCAAAAATGTTAATATCTACATGGTAAATTTGTTGGAAGCATTAAATAAAATAAACAGAATTAAAGTGCTTAGAAATGCCTCTGGCTTATGGTGAGTTTTCAGCGAATGTGAACTATAATAATGAAGCTTTCGCGGATAAGTTGAAAAGAGGTGTGGCAATATTAAGTAGCAGATACTACTGATTCCCAAGCTTCCGTCCTGTACTAGATGCATGAATTGTTAGAAATGTAGATTCCTGGAATATGTAAAACTTTAATGAACCGTAGTCTGGGATAAGCTCTGGAACCTTAAGTTTTTAACAAGCTCTCTCAGCTGGTTTGATAGCAAGCAGTACCAGATTCTACCAGTAGCATTGAGAGTGACAACCCAAAGCTGAGAAAATAGTAGACATCTTAGCTGTCTCTTAGGCATACAGGCCATACTACAGTCTCCTGTGTTGCTTTTATCTGATGACTTTCTGGGAATTTCCCTTCACCCTTGAAAATTTGAGCACCTGTTCTCTGCTTTCTGTCTCAACTCTACCTGTTAAGAATCTGTTCTAAGTTCGGTGCTTCAGTTTCCCTGCTGTACCTTGCAGGATATTTAACGGTAGATAACTGGCCATCACTGCCTGACCCACTGAAGCACCCTTTTGCCTCAAAAAATGGTCTATTACTCTTGAATAATCTCATTCATTCTTTATCCAGTTAATGCAACAACCAGCAATATGGGGCCCTGAAAGAATATTATTGGGACTGTGGCTATCAACCAATCCTAAATTTCGAGAGCTGTTTGTATGTGTGTGTGTGTGTGTGTGTTTTAAGTTTTTTAAAATTGATTTTTAGAGTGAGAAAGGGAGAGAGAAACATTTTATGTGAGAGACATTGATCAGCTGCCTCCTGCACACTCCCCACCTGGGATGAAAGCTGCAACCTGGGTATGTGCCCTGACCAGAAATCCAACCAGCAACCTTTTGGTGCACGGGACGATGCCGAACGAACTGAGCCACACCAGCCAGTGCTAAAGAGCTGGGTTTTTATATAACTGTCGAACACCTAGCTGGTGGATTCTGTGTCACTCTTTCCTTGATTGGTCTTTCTAGTATTAGACTCTGCAAGGAATCTTTTGGTTAGAATTATTACAGTATTCACTTTTTGTTGCTACTTATCCTGTATATGTTTAGTGACAAAATGACATGGGATTTAGGGGTACACACTGTACCTTGCTGGCCTTCTGTGATGTATTCATTACCCTGTCCTTCTCCTTCTCCTTCCAGTGACCTTTATTTCAGTGCACTTCACCTACCTACCTGTTGGGCCCAGTCTGGGTATTGCCATCATCTTAACTGTACTAAAAACTAAATACTAAGGCTATTTCTCAACTTCTGACCATTACATGCTGTCATTTCATATCATTTACTAAATTATCCTACTGCAAATATTTCAAATTTATAGGGAACTCCAGGCTGCCTGTCTTTTTTCTTTCTTTCAGCTACGTTTTGTTTTATACTGTCCCTTATTTAGCTTAGATTCCATGCTCCATCACTTCTGTGGACCATGGCTCTCTTACCAATATCTTCATTTACCTTGTCCTTTGAATGCACCCATTTGGTAAAATCCCATCCAGGTATTAGTCAAACTTTTCAGTTCTCTTCACTTTTACACTTAATCTTAATGATGTTTGGGAGAATCATACAGCAGTGCAGATTGTTGCCATTAAAAAGCACTGGTCACCATTCTTTAGTGGGCACTGACGGTTTTAAAGCAACCATGATTCATAGTCAGCTCCCCATTCTCCTCAGTGAATATTTGAAACCTCCTCAAATGCTACTGGGTTAGATGATTTTATTGTGAGGCCCTGTCCTGTTCAGCAGCATCCCTGGCCTCTACCCCAGAGATGCTATGGACTATAATGCTAGAGACAAAATTATTGGCATTTATTAAGGTTTTCTTTCTCCCTCCTTGATGACTACCTTTATGTTAATGTTGTTATGAAATACCATTGTATTTTGTTTATTAACCTTAACATTTTGGCTATTATGTCTAATGCTTCTCTGTCCAGGCAACTCTGACATTAAATAGTTTCTTCTTTCTCCTACCTTCTCCCTTTCAGTTTCTAATTTGAATTGATGTTTCTAAACCCCCAGTTAATACCTGTAAAACAATAGCAAGCTTTTATCACATTTTATATCCTCTCCTATTTACATGTGATTATATACTGTACCATATCTCTCAAAACCATTATTTATTCTTAGATCCATAAGTAAATATATATTTAATTCTCACCATGAAGCCTTATGTTGATATCTTGCAAACGGTTTTGGTTCTCCAAAACAAATCCTCCCATAGATTTCCTCAGGAGGGCTCTGGGATACATTATTCCCAAGTTAGTGCATATGAACAGAATTTTTCTGTGACTGAAAATCCATAAATTTATTTTGGTTAGATGAAAAAACATTCTGGCTTCAAAAAATTATTTCTGAACTTAAGTATACCTATCCATTGTCTTTATCATAGTCCTCCTTGCACTATTTTTATGGCAGAATCCGCAAAGATTTTAAGACTAAATACTGTATTTCCAGAATCTTCTTCCCCTTTATTCAGTGTCTATCCTGTGCTTAGTATTTTTAATTTTTAAGCACTTAAGTTTCTTTTTTCCTTAATTTCGAGTATCTAATTTACCTATAACTACAGATAACAGCTATTTTTAAAGTTAGGCTTGACTTGAACTTAGAGATTTTATTTGTATAATAAACAAAGCCAAGATGTATACAGATGCTCAAAAGAAAGGAATACCACTGTTTCTCAAGTACCGCTTAGTTGTAATACCAGCCTTTGAGGAGATGGATTGGATTCTTTTTTAGACTAGTAGATACTGCAGAACTTGTAAAAATGAATTTTGTGTGTCCTGTTAATTAGATGATCTTGGTTGACCTTGGAAGTAGATATCATCCATTTCTTTTAACTATGCCCTAGCTTCTAGATTTCCTAAAACTTGTTAAACAACACAGGACTTACCAGAATGTTTTCTTGCAGGCAGCAACTCTAACAGTCATGGAGTATCTTCTGTGTGCCAGAGACAGTGCCACATGGCTCAATCCTTAAGAATAACTTACGACTTTCCCCCTCATTTTACAAATAAAAATAGGGAATTTTTGTGGTTTAGTGATTTGCCTAAGATCACATAACTAATGAATGTTGGCGCTAGTTGATTCCTTATAGTTTCTACTACTTAATACTCTTCTAAGCAATGGTGATATAAAAGAAAGTTAGATTTTTCTTCTTGACGTTATACCTAAGTCTAGAGAAGTCCCTTTAGGAAAGAAATTTCTAGTTTATATAAATTTTCTCTCTCCATATAAGGGCAACTTTATCTTCTGGCATTATTCAGCGCATAACTTACAGACAAACATCAAATGCCTCTTCAAACATTTTAACCTCCCAGAGCTTTTGTTTCACTTGAAAAGAACATATAAAAAGGATGAAGTCACCACAATTGAAATCCAGGCACCTGTAGGGAAGATCAGTGTGGGTGGAGCTGCTCAGCACACAATGGGAGGATTGTTTTATTGGCATGAAAAGAAAAATGTTTCTCATTGAAACTGGGTATGCTTTGCTTGATTTTAAGATTATACCTTAGAGGTGAACTGAATATCTAAACTCTAATGTAATGATACACACAACATACATGGAAGAAGTTGTTAAAAAGTAAAACAAGGAACTAACTGGGTAAGGGACACCCCTCCACCCTTCATACACCTGCACATCTCTTAAATTTCAAACTCATACTTACATTTCAAGGCTTTAATATCAGGCTTGTTATATTCCTTCTTTGAATTCTTAAGGAATTTGAAGTATTTCACAGAACCTACCTACTTTGGAGGTAGAGGTCTCAGAGGTACCTCATGAAGAAACTGCTCTCACTTCTTCCTAAGAAGATACTTTATGCTATACATGGTGCTGAGAGTAGTAAGGAATTCATAAGTAGAAAGATGGTGATCATATTTTTTTAGTTCATTAATTCACTAATTTATTTATCAAATAATAAATGTACATCAAGATTTAGTCATTGGATAGAGGGAGCAAATATGGTTCTCTGTCTTCAAGGAACATATTGTTAATTTGGGGATAAAACAGTAAAATACAAGAATATTTTAAATTACAAACGGTGGTAATTATTCTTAAGAAAGAGTAAACTGCTATGTAAGAGAGCTTTGGAAAATCATTTAAAGTTGGGAGTGGAGGGTAGTGAGCTAGAATCTCTTGGCAGGTGTGCCATTTAGTTAAGTCTGAAAGGGTAATCAGGAATAGCTGTCTAAAGAGAAATTCACATGGAATGGCGTGGGAAAGGCACGTAAATACTTTCATTCATGGTGGCTTAAATAAGATTTTTTCGGTTGGAATGATATGATCAGAATGGAGGTGGAGGGATGGGAGACGAGGATAGAGACGGGATCATGCCTAGATGCAGCCTTGCAGTCATATTAAGTGGATTAAGGCTACTACCACCATTGTTAGTAATACTACTGTGCTTATATTTTGT